GCTCTGCTGCATCGGTTGCCCCTAAGAGTCCGTTCGTTCAGGGCCGACTTTGTGTACTAACTTGGAGAATCACCCCAGGAGAGCGATTCCATCCAAATGTAGGGAATAAAATATTATTTTTATAGTAAAACATACACGGCTACTTTATGGAAGGTAAAGTAAAATTTGTCCAGATAATTATGACAAAACATGTGACTCGCATTCCCACGAAATGTCCAGCTTCGCCGCTCGAGGCCACGGCACAGGGACCTGGGCGCTGGTTCCGCTCTCTGAGCAGAGAGTGGGAGGCCTGGCCTTACAGGAAGGCATGTTTGTGCGTGAAACAGCCTGTCACTCAGGAAGCTGAGGGTCCTCAGGGACCTGGGGCCTAGAGGGGCTCCCTGGACACTGGGGAACAGGTGGGGGGGCCACAGGCCTTGTAGGCGAGCAGGGTTTGGAAAAGCAGAGAGGCCTTTGCAACAGAGGGGGTTAAGACCTTGAAGAACCCGTCACTGGAGGGAAGCTTCAGGACTTTGCTCTGGGGCAGGGATCTGGCAGAGATGCTCCAGAGAATAAACACTCCATACCTGAAACAGGTCCTTATTGCCTATAACAGCAAAAACCTACAGAAACACCACAGTGTCCCCAAGCAGGGGCCTGCCCATGCCACTTACAGCACATCAACCTGACGGACTAGCACAGAACGAGAATGTAGAGTCTATCTGTGGGGGCCGGCCCCGCGGCCGAGTGGTTAAGTTCGTGCGCTCTGCTTCAGTGGCCCAGGGTTTCGCTGGTTCAAATCCTGGGTGCGGACATGCCACTGCTCATCAGGCCATGCTGAGGTGGCATCCCACATGCCACAACTAGAAGAACCCACAACTAAAAATACACAACTATGTACCAGGGGGCTTTGGGAGAAAAAGGAAAAATAAAATCTAAAAAAAAAAAAAGAAAAGAAAAGAAGTCTACCTGTGGATCTGGAAAGATCCAGTACATAAGCTGAAAAAAGGCAAATTATGGAATGGCACATATAACATGATCTCATTTTGGTAATAATTTTTAACTGCTGTCAATTTCTCTATACTAATCATATATTATTTGAGTTATAATTAAAAATCTTTCCAGAACAGCATTTCCAGGAGAAGGCAGAGCTACTGTGGTAGAACTTCATCTTTCTCAGAACTGTGAAGTCTCCAAAAAAAGAAAGTTAAATGCGAAACCACGTACGACACAGAAGGCGGCTATGAGAAGACACTAAGTCAAAGAACAGACTCTAAAAACGGCATGTGCTATGTCTGCGGTGACGTGGGTCACACGGGGACAGGGACACACAGACACCCCACAAACAGGAGAGCAGCAGGGTTGGGATGGGCTGGGTAAGGGTTTTTCTACCTTGAAGCACTTTCTAACAGTGCAGTAACGCGTCTTTTCCTTGATCAAAACCAGGTGTAACAGACAAAGAAACGCCTGGCCGGCCCCTGCGTAGGGCTTTGTGCTGGTGGCTCCCACCCTTCCAGCGGCCCTGCCACGGAGCAACAGCGCCCCCTCGCGGCCATGGCAGGAAGGACTGACGCCTGTCGTCTGGAAATCTGGCTGCTCCAGGAAGTTCAGAGCCAGGCCCAGATGGGTGTTCGGGGGTGGGGTGCGGCGCACAGCTGGGAAAGTAAGCAGGGCTGTGCGTCTGCTGAGGACGGAGGGCACAGGACAGAGACATGCCTGCAAAGCATAAGTCACCTGCAAAGAACAGAATGTTCTCCACCAAAGGGCGGGGTGGGCAGCACTGTGCAAGAAAGTCAGCAGGCCCATGGGTGTCCCAGGAGAAGCCAAGGGGAAGCCCGACTTCCAGACACGGCTCTGCTACACACACAGAATGCTCTGGACAAGCCCCCACTCAACTCTGTCCTCCACTTTCCCATCTGTGAAAGAGGGATATTCCTGGGGCTCTGGCCACCTTCCAGTCTGCTGAGAGACTGGAAGTGAGGGACAGTGCAGGGAGATGGCATCAGGTCCTGAATCCGACATGGGTGGCTGTATGAATTTGGCTGAGTTACTAGGATGACTCCAAACTTCAGCTTCCTCATACACAAAGTGAGCTCGATGCCAGTACTGGTTTCCTAGAGCATCATTTCCCAAACCAGACCCACAATGGGTCCTGGAAGCAATTTGGTGCGTCATGACCTTTTTAAAAAAATGAAATAGAATAGAAAATTTCTATTCATGTAAAGGCTAATCAGTTCCTGGCATCTAACGAGCTCTGAAAACACGTTAGTTGGGGGCCAGCCCGGTGGTGTAGTGGTTAAGTTTGCATGCTCTGCTTCGGTGGCCTGGGGTTCACTGGCTCGGATCCCAGGCACAGACCTACACACCACTCATCAAAAAACCATGCTGTGGGGGCTGGCCCCGTGGCCGAGTGGTTACGTTCGCGCGCTCCGCTGCAGGCGGCCCAGTGTTTCGTTGGTTCGAATCCTGGGCGCGGACATGGCACTGCTCGTCAGACCACGCTGAGGCAGCGTCCCACATGCCACAACTAGAGGAACCCACAACGAAGAATACACAACTATGTACCGGGGGGCTTTGGGGAGAAAAAGGAAAAAATAAAATCTTAAAAAAAAAAAAAAAAAAAAAACCATGCTGTGGTGGCATCCCACATACAAAAGAGAGGAAGATCAGTAACAGCTGTTAGCTCAGGGCCCATCTTCCTCACACACACACACACACACACACAAAAACCCATCAGCTATTCTTATTCCTGATGGAGGCGACAGCGCCGACTATTGTCACATTGGCCATTAAAAGAAAAACTGGCAGAAGGCCTGAAGCCTCTGGGACCCCTTTTAGGTGCTAAGCTCTCCTAGGATTCAGGAACGAGGTCCCCGGAGAGCAGAGCCGAGTATGGTGCTGGGGTCCCCGGATGGCTGACACATCCCCCGACAATCTGCTACTGGAGCCAGTAGGAAATTCAAGGCGGCCTTTGCCAACCCCAAAGAGCATTTTCCTACCCAAAAAAGGAGCCACTTTGCTAAGCGTGTCCTTCAGCCAAAGGCTGGCACAAACCACCGGCGTCCATCTCAGCCTGGCACCACGGGTGGTTACTCAGAACAACAGAGTGTGGGTTCAAACAAAGCTGTATCCTCACCAAAATAAGGCCCAAGGAGGGCCTGCGGGCTGTGCAAGGCTGATAAGGAGTGGCCGTTACAGACTTCTCCCAGCATAACCTCGCTGCCGCTCCCACAGGGCCGCTGACCCCCTCCAGGACAAGGCCAGCCATGGAGGGCTGGCAGGAGCCTGACTGCTGGGCGCCAAGGTGCTGCAGCTCCTCTGGCTCTGGTCCCGTCTCCCTGAGCACCTGGGCACCTTTCCCGAGTGCGAATCCTCATCCCCTCCAGGCTGGGTCATGGCCATCCTGCCCCACACTTCCCCTCGCATCCTAGCAGGAGAGGAGGGCCGATGCAGGGCGGGCAATGCTCCCAGGACGGTATGTTCCACACTGCTTAAGTGAACTGGCCCCTGCCTGATGAATAATTGGCTCTAATTCCTTTCTGCACAGGACCTGCCAGGCATGCCTCTTCTGTTGACTGACCTTCAGAGAGTCTCTAAGACGCTCTTGTCATGGCAGAGAGGATGTCACCCGAGGTCTGTGGTCTGGCTCTGCGGAGGTGGTGGGACAGAAAGATGGGGCCACGAAAAGAGCGAAGCGCTAACACTTACCACAACTCGCTCAATCTTCACAAGAGGCCCGAGACAGAGGTGCTATCATTACCCTGTTTTCACTGTGGAAAACTGAAGAAAAGGAGTAAGTTGCCAGGGACACATGGCTGGTAAGTGGCAGAGCCAGGATTCAAGCCCTGGCAGTGTGGCTCCACAGCCCAGGATCCTGAACTGGGTTTGAAGCCACCACTGTTATTCACCAGCTGTCCGACCTCAGGCAAGGCACTTGGAGACTTCAGTTTCTTTAATCTGTAAAATGGGATAATGACAGCTGCCAGCAGGGCAAGGTGTCAATGAGACGGTGAGCAAAGTGCAAAGTACAATGCCCAGCGGGTGCTCAAAAACATCAGTTCCCACCTTGTTTCTTGCACGTTTGGGCCAAGAAGAAAAAGTGAGGGTCCTGGGGTGGCTAAGTCTGTCTGGCTCCCCTCATCTCCATCTGGTTGGGAGGTCCTGCCCAGACACCTCAGCCTGCGCCCGTCGGAGAGGCGTTGGGAGCAGTTGTCTGGCTCTCTAGCCTCATCCAGCCTCTAGTCCCCTCCCCCAAGCACAGGATGAGGGTAGTCCACACAGCGGAGGCTCGGGAGCAGGTCAATGATTGGCTAAAGACAGTCAGAGGGTCAAGAAAAGACAAGGAACGAGAAGGTGACAGAATCAGGACATCGAGAGATCACCAAGACCACAGCTGGCTTGCCTCTTCTTCTCCAGCCAGTGCACGTGTGTGTGCATGTGTCAGTGTGTAAAGGGGACAGAATCCACAGGCTAGGATACCCGGGGGTCCCTCTACCTCCTTGCATCACACACAGTTGGCACTTTATGGGTCACCAGCCCCCTCCACCCATGTGACTCATGGGAGCCTTATAACTGCCTTGCAGAGAGGCAGGGCCAAGGTAAAAAGCCCTGCTTTAAGGACAGTGAAACAGCCGAGGGAGCTCCCATCACACGCCACATGTCACAGGCTGTCAGTGATAAGCTGGACAGAGAACTCAGGCTCCTAGGCCAGCCGGCCAGGTTCAGGCAGCCTGGGCTGCTGAGCTGTCGGGGGTTGGGGGCAGCACTTTCAGGCCACAGTGCAGGGCTGCGGGGCAGGGGGCCACGCTGTGACCAGAGGGAGCAGGTAACACCGAGGCCAGCCCCAAAGACAGGGGTGATGTTGAGGGTGAGCAGAGAGCCAGTTTCTGAGTGCGCCAGGCCACGCAGGGTGACGCCTCAGGGAGACAGGTTTTCTCAGATTCCCTGGAGGCGGGGCGGAGCTGTCTCCAGAGAGCGTGCAGCAGTCAGAAGGGGGCCCCACCCAGAACGGGGCGACCTACCGCATGATGCCCAGAGGGTCCAGGGCCTCCTCTTCCTCCTCCTCCTCCTCAGACTTCCCTGTATCTTCGCCCTTCCGGCCTAGGATGGGCGGACACTCATCCTCTGCGTGGTCCTGTTGCTTGAAGAAGTCAAAAGCGTCCCCATCATCCCCTGCCTGGCTACGTGCGTCCAGGACAGAGCAATCTCTGCTGGTGAGATCTGCAGCACCCAGGGATCTGGTGCCTGAAAAGGGAGACAGAAGAAGGCATATGACACCCACTGCCAGGGGACCAGGAGGCGCTGTGCTGCATCAAGCTCCAGGTCCCCGGCCTGAGGCTGGGGGCTTGCCAGTGTCCTGGGACCAGGATGGCGGGTCTGGGTAGATGGGGGCAGCCGGGACTCCGAGTGCCCACTGCAGCCCTGAGGGTTTACAGGCACCAGGGACGCCTGGAGTGGAGCCATTACAGGTGGGAGCCTTAGAGCAAGACAGAGGCAGCAGTTCCTGAACCTCTGCGGCCCAGACCCTGTCGGTACCGCGGGACGGCCAGGCCTCTGTCCACGGGCTAACAGCAGGAGAAGGCAGCCAGCAGATGGGGGATGTCCCATAGAACCAACAGCTCCAGGAATGTTTTATAGTTGTGGGGCATGTCAGGCAGCTCTGCCAACCCAACCACGGATGGAGACCCGCTCCGAGGGTCTGGGTGATGAGTGCACCCAGAGAATGGAGGAGGCTGGGACAGGGAGCACATGGAAGATTCTAGAACAAACTGTGATGACTCCATTACACAACAGCTTATATCAGTGGTTCACAACACATGGTCCGCAGACAGGTGTCCATGATGAGGTAAGTGCAGAAAGGGAGAGCAAACATCTAGAAATTTCCACAGCAGCTTGGCACTGTCATGACATCCAAGCATGGGATTTTGTATTCATGAAATTATCTGTCTGTGACAGACTGAGACACAAAACTGGTCCTTCCCCACGGATGGTCTGAGAAGCACGGGTTTAGACTACTTGTTCATCTCTATCCAAACAGTTACTCAGCGTATACCTTAGACAGTGGTCACTTGTTAAAAATACCACCCTTAGGTAAAGAACTTAGTGCCTGGCACATAGGATGTGACATATACACTGAGGTAATATGTAAAACTAAGTGGCAAATGATTGTGTTACATTATGTTATAGTCTGCTTTTTACTTTATTAGGACAAATGTGAAAATACCATTCAAAATGTCATGAACCTTCAATTTTGTGTAATAAACATCATGTAATAAGCATTTTACAGGTATAGATTCATTTAAATATTGCAAAGACCTCATGTGAGAGAGATTTGTACCTCTGTTTTACAGCTCAGGAAACTGAGGCACAGAGAGACTAGGAAAGTTGGACCACTCTATCCTGCTTCTCCACAACAGAGGGGACTAGGAGGTCGGGAGTTTTTCCCAGCTGCACATGCGCTGGAGCCCTCTTATCACAGTCAATGCAGCCCCCCGAGAGAGGCAAAGAGGGGGCAGCAGAGATCCGGGGCCCACGCTGGGGGCGTGGACAAGGACAGAAGCAGCCTGGGCTCTGCAGCCTCACCCAGTCATGGCCTCTGCATTCACTGGTTTTGCTTTTATTCCCACCCCTCATTTTTTTAAAAAATTGGTTTACTGTTTGCTAATTTTCTTTTGAAAATTTCCCATCTGTCTCGTGGAAATAGGAGATCCACAGTAGTTGGGAAAAGAGTCAAATGGAGAGGTCCAAAGAGGGGAGAAGGTCAGAGGTGGGGGTCCAGCAGCTCACGATGGGACCTGTTCCCACCCGAGGGTATGCAAGTCCTTTATCTGCCTTGGGGCGTTCGTGCAAGAATGGGACCCACCTGGGGTGTTCTGAGTGTAGGGGGCCGCGTTGGGGGTAAAATGTTAGCCATCGTTTCTACAGCACTTCCTCTGAGGCAGGCTGTGTTCTCAGCACTTTACATGTGTTGGCTTGCTGAAATCTCACAACCACCTGTCAGTCTATAAAGAGAATGGAGGAGGCTGGGACAGGAACTGCAAGGATTCAAGACCCCATAACTGGGTGGGGGAAGGTGGTTCTGGATCACCGTGGGCTCAGCCTCTGCCTGGAGCTACACCCACAAGCATCTCTGCTGAGGGTGCAAGCTGAGGGAGGTGTCCCCAGGGGCCAGGTCACCAGCCTGGCTGTGGGGGCCCAGCCTTCTCTGGATATTGCAGGTCCCCAGGCCTGGCTGGCAGAAGGTGAGGAGGGGTGTGTGTGTGTGTATGGGTCGGGGGAGCTCTGGGGATGGGGCTGACCAGGAGGGACACGGGTGGGGTCAGACTATGGAGAAGGTCCCTGTGTGAGCCCCGTCTGGCACCCAGGTGGTCAGTCCTTGAGGGCTGGGCCCCAGTGTCCTTCTGCCCACCACCCCGCCCAAGGATGGAGGTCAGGCCCACTTGCCTCAACAGCCTGGTCGAAGCCATGGGCTGTAGGAGGCAGCTGTGGAGCCACTCCAGCCAAGCCAGGGCAGCGATGCCTAGTCCTAGGCCAGGGAGACCTCAGGGATTTGGGACAGAGCCTCACGTACCTAAGAATTCTAGCAGCTCTGGGCTGCTGGCCAGCTCGGCATCCTTTGAGACGTGGCGCAGAATCTCGTCGAACACAGCTCTCCTTTCCTGGATGTCAGACTCCCCGACGAAGAGGACCTTCCTGGGGAGTGGGGGCAGGCTGGCCGCTGGATAACGGCTGCTCAGTTTCTGGTAAAACTCTTCGATCTCGCTGTACTTTTTGGAGACCTGGAATGAGAGGAGCACGCGGTTTCCCGAGTGAAGAGCGAGAGCGGAGAGCGCTCCTCTCCCAGCCCAACCAGAGGTCCCAGAGGGCTGGCTGCCCCAGGAAGTTTGCACCAGGTGGGCCTCCCTCCTGCCCCTCCGCCCAGCTCCTGCCTCAGGCCCATTCCTCCACTCCCTGGTCAATGCCAGGCTCAATTACAAAAGGCTCAGTGGCCCAAAGGGAAGATGCAGTCATGGTGGATCTGGGCACTGTCACAGGTTGCCACATCTGATACAGGGACCCTGCCTGGCCTGCAGGTGACCATGGCTGCCACCTCCTTTCTGGGCTTTCAGCGCATTAGTGGGGTGACCTTATGGTCCGGCTGGCTATTAGGTCATCTTCCTGCAATAACACAAGTCACCTTTTCTCAGCACAGATCTCTGGATCGTTCTCCCATGAATTAGCAGCAGCTCTGACGACCAGCAGGGACGGTCCTCACAGTGCTCAGGTGGTGAAGACCCAGATATTGCAAATTTGGTTTCCTTCTCAGCCCTGTTGTCAGCCAGGACCCGGGCATGTACTGGGACCTTAGGGAAGCAGGCCAGGGCTCCTGCTGGCTGTTAGAAGGTGGTCCTGGGCCATCTAAGTCACCTTGGGCAGCATTCAGTGTCCTGCAGGGCCTCCTCTCGGCCCCTGCCTAGAACCCCTACTGCAGCCAAGGGTTCACTCCTCACTTCTCAAGCTCTTGCTGTGGTTACTCTGTGTTTACCCCAGGAGGCTGCAGGTCTCGCGTGGAGCGAGCAGCCAAACACAGCACAGCCAGTGGTGTCATTGCCGAGGTCTGTACAACCCAATACGTGCACTCAGAGAAGAGTTACCTGCTCTGTGTCACACACCACACCAACAGCCTGGCGTCCACCCTTGTCTTGGACTCCTCTGTGTTCTCCTATATGCTGGGCCTGTCTGCCCAGCTCCTCTGTGAGAGCACTGAGTGTGAAGACATGGATATTCCCACTTCCACTCCCCGGCCAGGACTGCGCCCACAGCACACCACTAAAATGCTGTCATGGCTGATGGGCTGTGGGGAGTCTGGATACACTGAGACTTGGGAGACCTGGCAATCCCACTGCACAGCTGTGTTGGAGCATGCAGCCCTGGCTAACCAGCATTATCACCAGAACCCCCAGCCTGTAGGGCTGCAGACGCCAGCAGGTGGCTGGGGCACTGGGGGACTGCAGAACCCCCCACCCCAAGGAGAGTCATTAGGTCAGAGAACTAAGCCTGCAGTTGTCAACACAGTGGCTGGCTCCAGAGCCTTCCTGAGAACAGCCCCACGGAAAGGTAAGAGGATCCTTTCACAAAAGTGACACAGGCTCCAAGTCCCAGCGGTCCTGAGAACCGGTGACTCTAGCCAGGCAGGGATTGAGCCCAATCCTGGAGGCCCTGACCCTGGGGGCTGAGCGCCCTCTGCTGGCCTGACTGCTCTACACAGGCCGGTCCCACAGACTCATCAGGACTGGGGTTCTGGGAGCCGATGTCTCCAGGGCACCGAGTGTGGGGAGTTTCAAGTCAGAGGAGTGCCCCCATCTAAGGCCCATGCTCATTAGTGTTCCAAACAAGGTCTTCTCAGGTAGCTACCTACGCAGCAGCAAGGAGAGGAGGCCAAGGGAGAGGCCCTGAGGCAGGGGTGGGAGCCCCTGCTCAGTTGGTGCCTCGTGGGCCCCAAGCCCACCTCGCGTCCCTCTGCTCTAAGTCAGTGCACGTGGTGTCTGCTAAACCACAAGCAAATACAGTGCCCCTTCCGGGGGCTGGTTTTACTCTCTGGTTAGAAATTCAATTCATTTTTATATTAAAACATCTATATCCTTTTGAGGAGTAGAACGCAAAATTTTTTAAGCGAAATCATGAAACTTCAAAGAGATTTCAGATCTAATGGGGAGTAGATGTGCTCTCCTTTGCCCTCACAGGGGGTTTAAAATGTGTGAGAAGTACCTGCACGCATGGGCAGCTGTGCATGCACACACTCTCCACAGGGTACGGGTGTCATCAGTCAGGAAAAAGCGGCACTATGTAACACGTGGAGGTGTTAAAGATGTCCTCACGCACACCCTCACGTGTAAAGCCAGGCCTTTGAACAGGACTGAGTAAACGGGCCTGGGTGCTCCTCAGGGCTCCCAGAATGCTGCCTCTCCCTCACGTCCAGGGACACTGACCTCAGATACAGTCATGCACCACAGAACGACGTTTTGGTGAATGACAGACCACATATATGATGGTGGTCTCATAAGATTACTAGCATACAGCCTAGGTGTATGGTGTATACCATCTAGGTTTGTGTAAGCATACTCTCTGATGTTCACACAACGATGGAATTGCCTAACAACACATGTCTCAGAACGTATCCCAGGTGTTAAGCGACGCGTGCCTGTCTACCATGGGACTCCTGCTCATTTTACCTTCATTTAAAAACTCTCTCCTCCCTCAGCTCCCGGGACTCCACGACACCCTCTTCTCTTCCCTCGGCCTCGTCGGAGGCTCCTGCTTCTCTGTGACTGTCCCTGAGCTGCTGGTGATCCCGGGGTTTCCTCCTCAGCCCCTCCCGCCACCTTCCACATCCATTCTCTGGGCAACTTCATCCACTCCCAGACTTTCAACATCACCCCCCAGCTGAGGCCTCCCGAATCTGCCCCTTATGCCCGACCCCCGTCCCACACTCCAGCTGCATGTATCCGTCCTCCTGGATCCATTGAGCAGACACTTCACACCCGACATGTCCCCGCTAGACCTGCCCCCGCTGGTGCTCCTTCAGTTGGTGGAAATGATCAGTTAGCACACCTTGGAAATAGTTTCAAGTCTCTCCCTTCCTTCCATATGAATGACGGCTGGCCTGCTCCCAGCCCTCACAGGGGGACTGCCATATTCCCTCGTGACTGGGCTCCCTACCCCCTGCCCCGTTCCTTCCAATTCAGCTCCACTCTCCCACCAGACCAGCCAGAGAGGGGCAAAGAGGACCACATCACTCCCCGCTTGAAACTCCTCCTTGGCTGCGGGAGAAGTCAGGCTGGCTGCATGCCCTCCGTGCCCTGGTTCCGCCCACCATCACCTCATCTTCTCCTGCTTCACCCAGGACGATACTCGACTCTCACAGGTCCCCACACAACACCCTGTTTCCAGCCTCTGTGCATTTGCTTGGGCTATACCCTCTGCCTGGGACACCCTTCTGCTGCTGCTTAAATCCACCTGCTTGTTAAACCACAGCTCGGCCCTCACCTCTTCCGAGCAGCCTTCTGGGACCCTTTCCCTGGGCTGGGTTAGGTGCCCCTTCTCCACACTCCCTCAGCCCATGTGCTCCTGTCATACCTGCATCTGTCTCTTTACGTCTGTCTCCCCATGGAGTGTAGGAATTTGATTCATTCTTGTGTCCTTACCGCTCGACATGTCCAGGCCCTGAGACAGTGTTGGCTAGAGAAGTGTCCGCTCCCTGATGCCACCCGCCCGCTGGTGGCAGGTGTGACTGCCCACCTGGACCCCTGGGCCCTGCACACCCTCTGGAGCATCCTGGCAGAGCCCCCAGCTCACCAAGAACTGGACGACATCCTCGGGCTTGTGCTTGGCCGACTTGAACGCAGCGAGCCGGGTCACCACCAGGATCTGGTACTCCACGTGGCCCGACATCATCTTGCCCCGCACCTCCTGGTGCTGGGGCACCGTCAGGTCGAGGCCTGTGTGGACATTCTGAACTCGCCTGCCAAAGGGAGAGAAGGCAAAGGAAGCTCAGGTCCAAGTCAGCAGGCTTCTCAAGGGAAACGCAGGCAGGACCTTGGGACAGCTCGGCAGGCCTGGGTGCAAGGCTGCTCCACTGGCACTCCTCAGTGGTCACTGCTCCAAGCCACCCACTTACCCCTCATCAAGCCTGGCTTCCCAGGCCACAGGCCTGGGCCCTGCCTTTGGGTTGCTCCCAGACGAAGTGTCGCTCCCAGCAAGAAAACAGGTGAGAGCAGAGATGATGAGGGTCACGGAGCATCACGCACAGCTAGGTGTCTTACACAGACTTGGCATGAGCTCCCGCAGGATTGGAGGGGATGGCATCCTGGGGGCTCCCCGGCTGTGCGTGCACAACGCAGGAACGAAACCCCACCAGGAATCTGGAGAGGCAGACTCATCTCTTCAGCCAGGCAGAGGGCGGCAGAGCTACTACAGCGCCCACCTGGCTTGGGGAAGCGGGAAGGCACTGGATGTGAGGCCCCCACCAGCCCCGGGCCCCGAAAGGCATGAGAAGGCCACTGTGTGAGGCTTAGAGAAGACACTCCACAAGACGTTATAGGTGTTCAAGAGTCTGTAACACAACACAAACGTGCCGAACTGTATGCAAACAAGGGATGAAGCATTTTCTCGGAAGGGAGAAAAAAGGTTAAATGTATCCTGGGTAAGGGGCAATGCAGACCCGTGCACACGAACACTTATGACAGGAAATGGCATCGTCAAGGCCGAGACCTACCCTGTGCTGGGCAGGGCTTTCAGAACAGAAGAAAGGGGATGCCCAGGGCGGGGGGTGGTGCTTCCGGGGCTAAAACTGTGCCTGTGGCAAGGCCCCTTCTCTCTCTGGACTAATGTCCCAATCCATCGAAGACACCTTGTCCCTCAGAACTTCTTCCACACAGATTCCTCCCGTCTCCACACTAGGCATGTGACAGTCACCAATGTGATGCCACTGTCACCAACTGGGGTATATGCCTTCATATGAAGTGTGTATACACATCCACTGACCATACAAACCTCTGCACACCGAACGCTTCCAGACAGTACACAGAATGCTACGATAAGCATGCATCTCTCAGGAAGGCCCGCGCAAACCTGCCTCCAGGAAGGTGTGATATGAGCCCAAATGTGCCCTTGCAAGATGGAAAACACACCAAACACATCAGCCTTCCGTTCCTTTCGCCAGTAACCAAATGAGCGTTCCTGGCCGTTCCCTGAGTACAGACCGTGCTGCTTCTGGCGGTGCACAGGAGTGCTGCTGAGTTTGGGAGAGCAAAACCAGACTAAAGGTCAAAGGTGAGCGTGTGAGCAGCTGGCAGCACTGCAGCCTGTTCTGAGGACCTTACCTGTCTGAGTCACTCCCGCCTCCTGCAGTCCTACAGAGGGACACTACTACTTAGACTCATTTACAGACAGGGAAATAGGTACAAAAAGGGAGTCACCTGCCCATGGCCTCGGGGGTCAGAGGTGGAGCCAGGGTGCACTCCCTCCAGGGCAGTCGCCCCAGAGCCCAAGCAGTCTCTTCCAGGGCATGAGGAAGGAAGGAGGCAGGAATTAGGATCGTTACGACAACTAAGCATAGAAGGGGGTGCCCCCCCAGAGCCGGAGGGGGAGGGGCCTCTCCACAGAGGAAAGCAGATGGGGGGACCCCTGACTTCCCTGCTGACCAGCAGCTCCTGTGGGCGCAGCTCGCTCTCTCCCTCTCAGTATCCCACCTCTGACAGTCCTTTGACCACCCCAGGACCTGCAAGCCATGATGCCACCACCTTTCCTGTCCCTCCCTGTCCTGTCACACGTCTGCAGCTGAGACGCCCCATTCCATTGCTGGAACCACTGCCTCAGGCCCCCGCTCCCCGCCCTCTCTCCTGAGTTCTCCAGTTCTCCACCTCCTTTGCTCCCACGCCAGCAGTGCACGTGACCAGGACACACCGCCAGGTCCCACCTGAAGTTTGTGGCCACAACCTACAACCCTCAAGCTGCAGCAGAGACCTGGCTCCCCTCCCTTGGTCTAGATGGGGGGTTCCCAAAGTGTGCTCCCTGGGCACTTGTCAGCAAGGCAAATTCGGGCCACTGAGTCAGAAGCCCTTGGGTGGGACCCACAATCTTCCTTTTGACAAGTCCTCCAGGTGACTCTGATGTACCTGAGCCTAATCCACTCATTTTTCCCGCTCCTCTACGCCCTAGGCAAACTTTTCCTGTAAAGGGCCAGAAACACAGTAAATATTCTAGGCTTTGCAGGCCACACAGCCTCTGTCGACTGCTCAACTTGGCCATTGTGGAAAGCAGCCATGGGCCATAGTAAACCTGATTTATAAAAGCAAGTGGTGGCAGGATTTGGCCCACGGGTACAGTTTGCCCACCTCTGTCCTAGACCAAACTTCCCAAGCTGGAAAGTGCATCCAAGGGGCCTGGGATCTTGTCAATACGCAGATTCAGATTCACCCGGTCTGGCAAGAGCCTGAGAGTCTGTATTTCTTTCTTTCTTTTTTTTGTGAGGAAGACTCACTCTGAGCTAACATCTTTGCCAATCTTCCTCTATTTCGTATGTGGGCTACCGCCACAGCATGGCTTGCTGAGTATATGTCCGCGCCCAGGATCTGAACCTGCAAACTGGGGCCACTGAAGTGGAACATGTAAACTTAACCACTATGCCACTGGGCCGGCGGAGAGTCTGCATTTCTAACCAGCTCCCAGGACCACCTGCTGAGTAGCAAGACATGGCATCTAAGTGGCCTCTGTCAGTAAAACCCTAACACGTGTTCATCCCTGACGACCCTGCATTCTATTTCCCTGAGAAAAGGGAAGCCATCGGAGGACTTCCCAAGCTTCCCCATCACATCCGCAATCAGCCTGCATCTGCTCTCCCCACCCCCTCCCCCCACCACTGGGGACACACTGGTTGGCTCCTACCTAAGGGCAACCCCTCTCACCTACTCAAGGACAGTGCTTCTGCAAGTCTCCCCTTTTTGCGGCATCATCAGTTCCCCTCCTTACTGATCATCCTCACTTCTTACAATGGCTGCCCTTCGGCCTGACTGTCCCTTCAGCTACTGCTCCATTTCTCTGCTCTCCTTTCCAGCAAAACTCAAGACAGTGGCCTATACTGACCATCTCTGGTTCCTCTCCTCCTGTTTGATCTTGAATCTGTTCCAACCAATCTTTGTCCTCAACACACAACTGAAGCTCCTCGTGCCCAGGTCATCGGCGACCTCCACACTGTCAAAGCCAAAGGTTACTTCTCGCTTCTCTTCTTACGTCAGTGACACTTGGAAGTCACTCTCTGCTCCCTGGGGCTCTGTCTTCATGGCTTCCAGCAAGCCCCCTCTCTCTGGGTTTTGTGCCCTCCCTGGCCACTCCCGCTCAGCTTCCCTGGAGGGTCCCCCCGTCCCCCCCCAGACACCCTCCTTAGACCTTTTCTCTCGCTGTGTCCCTATCCAGGTGACCTCATCTGCATCCAAAGCTTTAAATACCATTTATGGGCCAGTGGTCCCCAAAGTCCTATCTCTGGTCTGGACCCCCCTCAAGGCCACGCTCCTTCTCCCAGCTGTCTACTAAGCTCTCCACGTGGCTGTCCACAAGAAGCTTAAAATGAACGTCTAGACCGATGCTGACTCCCACCAGCCCCACACCCGCTCCCTTCACAGTCCCCCCATCTCGGAACTCTGCAGCCTCCCTCTCTCAGGAACTCGGGACAAAAGCCTTGCAATCAGTCTTGACTCCTCTTTCTTGTTCTCACATCCCACATCTCATCATCAGCAAGCCCTGAAAGCTCATCTTCCAAACAAACCCAGGACCCAAACATTGCTCCTCCCTCCACCACCACCCCTCTGGTCCAAGCCCCCCTCAGCCCGCACGTGGATGACTGCAAGAGCCTCGTAGATGGTCTCTTTGCTGCACCTGCTCCCTACAGCCTGCTCAACACAGCAACAAAGGACCTTCATGAAATCTAAGGCCGGTCCCATGGCTCTGAGAAGGAAATCCAACGCCTTACCATGGCCTGTGAGGCTCGTCCTGTCTGTCCCCTGCTCCCAAGCCCACAGCTCTTCACCACGTCACCCAACACTCTCCCCGCTCACTCCACTCCAGCCATGCGGGCCTCCTTGCTGATGCTCAACACCCTCTTGCCCCAGGACATTGGTTCCTGCTGTCCTCTGCCTGGTACACTCTTTCTCAAGAGTTCTCATTCGTGGCTCTCTCCCTCAGGGAGCTTGTCAGGGATCTGCCCAAGTTCCACTCTATCAGAATGATGCTCTTGGACCACACCATATAAAACAGCACTCGCTCCTCCTGTCACTCTATCTCCTCTGCCATTTTATTTTCCTTCATACTATCTGTCATCACTGACACACCATATATTTACCTACTGTCCACCTGTCCCCACTAACGCTCCACAAGAGGGACTTGGTTTGGCTCATTGCTGTATCCAGAACCTGGACATACACTGGACACAGTAGGCCCTTGATACAGATCTGCTGGAGGACTTCTGCCTGAATGTACCTGGTGATGAGAGGGGAGGCTGGGCTGGGAAGCTGAGTTGGGGCCCGACTGAGAAGAGCCTGCATGGAGGCCGGTCTATGGTTGTTGGACTTACCCTGCAGACGGCTCCTCAGGTTTGGTGGTGCCTGCCAGCAAGAAGGAGCGAGCACCACTGCCGTCTGTGAACAAGCCCTGCCCAGGCTGGAGCAGTCAGGGAAGCCATGCACCTTCCCACGCACCCAGCACCAAAGCGACCCCCTCACGGGTCTGCGTGTGGCTGGGAGAGCTGTGTGCTGCTGGCCCTGCTCCAATCTCAAACCTCCTTTTTGCAGAAAAGGAAACCGAGGCTCAGCGAGAGGAAGTGACTTATGTGGCAGTAGGGAAACCTCTTCTGCCAATGAAGATATGACCTGCAGCCTCACTGTGTCAAGCCGAGGAGATCAAGCAGGGTCTGACATCAGAGTTTACTTAAAGAATCATATTTTTCTAGACCTGAAGTCACAGGGGAGTTCAGATTACAGCTGGAAAAATCACAGTTGGGCTGGGTAAGACAGTCGTTTATGTAATAAATTGGCGTCTAAGCCCAAGATTCTGTGTAGGGGGGATGAGTAGAGTGTAAGAAAATTCTTGCACTGGGTCACTTTACAGATACTAAAAAGGGGGAAAGGAGTAAAACCATGTCCATCCCAGCCTTTCCAGGAACCATCCTGCACTGGGCCCTCCAGGCCTGGATCAGTGGGGCCCACCCTGCAGCCTCTGCCTCCCAGGCCTTAGCTATAACCTGCACTTCTGAGCCACCTCCTGGAGCAGCTGCCACCTCTCTGCTCCCCTTCACCTGGCTCACACCCACTCTTCCTACAGCACATGGCCTCACTGACGCCCTCCCAGAAGCCAGGGTTACACCTCGGCCCTGTGTTCCCATGGCAACCTGTCCCCTCCGGCATCTGTCCCCGGCAGGGCAGGTCTGCGTTGGTTCATCCCCATCTGCCCCTGCAGGGCCAGGCCTTGTCTGATTCACCCCGGTCCCCAGTGCCGACCACTGGGCCTGGCACATGTCGAGTACCGAAAGGATGTATATTTTTGGGGGGGTCAAAAGAAATGAACGCAGGTCGGCAGGGAAGGGGAGAGGAGAGTCCCCTCTCCGCTGGCCTGCGCAGGACCGGCCAGTCCAGGCTTTCCACTGGGTCTTGGGTGAGTTCGTTACCCCCTAGGGGCCTCAGTTTCCCCATCTGTAAAACGGGGACACTCGATGCTGCCCCCCCCCCCCGTGCAGGGCGGTGGAGGGGCTGGGTCCAGGGAAACCGCCGCGCCCGGGAGGCCAGCCGCCTCCGCCTGCTCCTCCGCCTCGGGCGCCTTGCGCGCACCCGGACTTCTCGTCGCCGGAGCCGCGGCGCGGGGCGCGGGGGGTCTGGCTCACCTGGAGGTGACGAGCACCGCCGGGGACGGCATGACGGCGGCGGCTCCGGGCGGGGCGCGCGGTCACGGGACCCGCAGGCGCCGGCGTCGCCGCGTCCCCGCCCCGCGCGCACGGCCCGCCCCCTAGTGGCCACTGGGCTCGGCCCAGAGGCGGCCGTGGATTTCCAGGCTTTTCTGGAACTCAAGGAGGTGGGGACGGTGCGCGGACTCGGCGCCTCTGGAGACCGGAGCGGGCTGAGCGGCAGCCCCGCTCACCCGCACCCGGGTCCCCGCGCGCCCGGCCGCGTGTCCTGGGCCGACTGGGCGGCCGGGAGGCGCGCAAGGAAGGGAGGCGTTCGTGGCGGTGACCGGAAGTCTTGGCTTGTGCCTGCTGCCCCGGCCTTCTTAGTGACTGCGCACGTTTGACTCTTAGGAGTGCCCGGAGCGCCCCGGTTCACACAATGCATTAGTTGGTCCCGCTGTCTTGGAGAGAGTGTTGGGGAAGCAGTGCAGCCAGGGACGGCCCCAGGGATGCTCGGAGAGATGTTAGGAGGGCCAAGTGAGGTAACATATAACCCAGCAAACAAGAGCAACGAGACCCCTTTGTAGGGGCTAACCGGTCCTTCCCAACAAAAGCTGAAAAAGCCGTCTTTCCTCTCCCCTGCTAAAGAGATGATATTCTGACTCTTGTTAAAACGGTAAGGAAGACTGTATCTGAGACTATTGCCAGCTCTGAATGCAGCGAAGACAAGTGGGGTGGAGAGCCAAGGGGCAGGGTGGGACGCAGTGAGGGGAAATACCAGAGGGACAGCGAGGCTGGGGGGATTCTTGCTGAAGACAGGCCAGGGCCTAGACGTCAAAGTCAGGGGGTGACGAACTTGATCAGGTATCTGGGGTGGGGATTCTCTCTAAACTAATGGGGGACGTGGGGTGTCAAGGTCAAGGCCTGGTGAAGAGGGCTCAGAGGGGCCTAAAGTTTGGTCAAGGAGAGAGTTTGTTAGCCCAAAGCTCACCTCTCACAGAGCTGCTAACACCCCCCCTCCTTCCCGTGTGCAGACCCTTCTCCAGGTGCCCACCTGCTCCTTTCTTCCCTTCCTGAGGACACGCCCTCCCCAGCTGCTCCTACCCTCTGGGAGGCGGAGGGAGGCTTCTGCTTGAATGCATTTTCCCAGAGAACCAACTGCTCCCCACC